TCATTTTTATTTTTTTAATATCAGTTCTGAAATATCATGTATTTTTAACCCATAAATAGAATCAAATTTTGATGTCATGTTCGAATTCTAAGTTTTCTTATATTTTTTTTCTTTTGTTTCATTTGTTCATATTCATGGTTGATATTTGTAAAAGAAACCTAAATTAATATATTTTTTTGGTCCATATAAAGGTTATTCTGTGTTTTCGATATATATTTTATATGGACATGCAGGTTCGTCCTTAATACTTGTAGATGGTGCTTTTTATTTATATTTTATTTTAAAATTTACATTCCTTTAAAAATATATTACTTTATTTTATAACAGATATAACTTCTTTATTTCCCTTTCTATCTTTGTTTTTTTTATTAATTTCAAAATAATTTATTAGAAAATAAAATAAAAATAAACAAATATAAAATTCAATTGTGTAAGTTTGCAATTTGTTCCTAACCATATGAATGAATTTCGTATTACAATTTATATGTTTGAAAGTATCACCAATAATGAGCATGTTATTTTTATCAAGTCTTAAACTATTGGTGCTCTTTTATTATAACTAAAATAGATAATCACCTTAAAGTATAGTTTGTGTATATTATTTTCACTCTATATATGATTATAAAAAATAACATAATATATTTGAATTATTATACATAAACTATCTATAATGATAATTCTATTTTTTAATTAAGTCTTTGTACACATAATTAGTTTTTGTTGTTTGAATTATCCACGTAGAATTTAACAAAATTATTTAAAAGCCATGAATATTAGCGTGCAAGTCCCAATGCACAATTAAGTATAAACTTGAACCAACAATTATACTATTTTTTTTAATGATATATCATACTTAGAAATTGTCAAAATTTATTTTTAGATGATAAATGTAGTTTTGGAGGATTATTTTTTCTAAGCTACTTAACTTCTATATATAAATATATGTGGGTATGTGTGTGCGTGTGTGTTAATATAATGACATGTGCAATGCACATTTTGAGGCATTGTTAAAAATAATATAAATTTTCTCGTATCCAAATAATTATGTTACTCATAAAGGAATAAATACAAAAATAATTAATGAAAAAATTAGAATGCAAATTTATATTAAGTAATTATTGATAATAAGTATTTATATTTTGTTGTTAGAGTTATCTACATAGAAATTAACAAATTAATTTTATAAATTTATTTTTATGGTAATTAGAGTGAAAGTTTCCAATGTACAATTATTTATTCATTTGTAATAAATAATTATAATTATTATTTTAATTGTGGATCATACATAAAAGTTGACAAAGTTTATTTCTTGATAATTAATGTAGTTTTGGAGAGAATAGATTTTTCTCCAAACTACTTCACTTATGTGTGTGTGTGTGTGTGTGTATATATATATATAGGGAGTGGTTCAAATAAAAACCTTTTCTGGTGTGAGAACCGCGAGAACCATATTTGATGCTATTTTTAATTCTGTATGACGCTATTTTTAATCTTACATGGTGCTATCATTTTTACAAATGCTAAGTTGCTATTTTTAATAAAATACATTCTGATTAAAAATAGCACTAAATACAATCAATCATAGCACTATATACAATTAAAAATAGCGATTCTCACGGTTCTCACGCTAGGACTTGGTTCTCATTTGAACTACATCCTATATATATATATATATATATATATCGTGTGCCTTGAGAAAATTAGCTCGTGTCAACTAAGTTTTAAATTCTCATGATTTTTTAGTTATACATCCAATATGAAAAATATATTAATCTATCGTCACATCAGCAAATGAATATAATAAACCATGTTGTTCATGAGTTATACACACACACACACACACACACACACACACACACACACACACATATATATATATAGTACACAGATGTTGTTGTGAGTTAGACAATCATATTTTTTCATGAAAATTGCATATTATACTATACAGTGTCATACTTTTATTTACATTGTAATTTAAAGTATGATATTAATGTGAAATTATGTATATTTATTGAAAATACAATCCATGAAAATTTACTAATATAAGTAATATGACAAAATTTCACATCATAAGTAAATCCAATGATTAATTTCAAATTTCTAGACATACAACTAAAGAAATGAAGTTAATAATTTATTATAAATATAATGCAATTCAGATATGATATGTATGTATATATCACAAAGATACTTGTAAGTCAGTGTAACTATTAAGAAAATCTTCTACCATTTTTTTTAATCAAATATGTGTGCTCATATTATACTTTTAAACAACATTATTTTTCACGGTAAAATATTTTATTATAAAAGTATTTATATTTATTAGAAAAAATATGTTAACTGTTAGACCTATAAAACAAAACTTTTTACCCCATTAGGAGATTATGATTAATTTGATAGAAAATAAATACATTAAATTTGTTGTTTAAAGTTAGAAATTTGTATTAAAAAAGTAATTTCATATTGTCAAGTCAAAGTGTACATTATCACATTGAGAAAAAAAAAAGATCGAGAAAATTTAGGAGCTAGGCACGTTTCCCTCACATATATGAAACAAAGACTAAAATTTTGTATGTATTCATTATTCTCAAATTTAATACTAAGTGGAAATTTAATGCAAAATTTAAGAGGAGATTAGTTATCAAATGATGTGCAAACATTTAATGCAGATTTTGAGCGGGAATTTGGCAGCTGCTCTGCTTTAATATATATATAGATTTTGACAAAAAAAAAATGGTCCTCTCTAAGTTTTATTTTTTTTTAAATTCTAAACAATCGGAAAATTCATTATCACGTAGAACAAAGGAACAATTTATACAAAGAAATTACATTATTTACCAAGAGAATAAAAAAC